AACTGTTTCGAACTGTTCGGATTCGATTTCCTGGTCGATGAGAACCTCAATCCCATCATCTTGGAGGTTCGTTGCTCTTTGACGCCAGCGGATGCTTGGGGTCACTCACTGTTTTCCCCATTTCGTGCTCTCTTCAGGTGAACTGTGGCCCCGACATGAAGAACACCGGAAGCAGGCTGGACCACGCCGTCGTGTCTTTCCTTGATGACACCCTCGCCGCCGCTGTCGATCCCTACTTCGACCCCGGTACACAACCGCCATCATCTGAGCATGTGCTGTGTGTCTATCTGATCATTCAGCTCACGCCTCCTCCTTGCGCAAACAGAACTGGCGAAGCAGAGGGAAGCAACGGAGAAGGAAATGGAGAGCCAGATCGGGCGGCTTCACTTGGTCTACGCCGACGCCACGTCCTTCCCCGCCTGGGGAATGCCCAACATGTCCTTCAAGGACTACTGAGCCCAGTTGTGACCACTACAAAAGCGGCGACAAGCAATCTCTCCGATTTGTTTATTTTTCGTTTATTTTTATTTTCTATTGATTTTTAATGTTTGGACAACCGAACACGGAAATAACTGGGGAGCAATTAAGAATGCCGGCATAAAACCGGCCGGTGCCGCTGACGTGGCTTCGCTTTGGCGGTGGTGCTCCGAAATTTCGCGCTGGCCGACCGGTGGGCGCAGGAAGCGGGAAGGAGCTTCCCTTGGTCGCTGTCGGTTCCTTCAGCTTCCTGGTTGCCCGTTCCCGCTTCGACTTCGCTGGCTGATCCAACGTAAGACGCGAACCATTTGAGAAGAAGAACAGTAAATTATAAGCTACGAGCAACCCTCAACAATGGCAGCGGAGCAGGAAGACGGAGTGACAGAGTATCTTTACAAAGTGCTGGTTGTCGGTGCGTTGCCCTTCACTCGGACGCATTAATCATTCACACTCCAAATTGGCTCTTTCTTCATGTCTGTCCCCCTCCTTCGATCTCTTACCTTGCCCCTCGTCGTGAATCGGTAGGCGACATTGGCACCGGTAAGACCTCTATCATCAAGCGTTACGTCCACAACATCTTCTCGATGCACTACAAGTCCACAATCGGAGTGGACTTTGCCCTCAAGGTGATCAACTGGGATCCCAAGACGATTGTGCGCCTCCAGCTTTGGGATATCGCTGGTCAGGTGCGACACCCGTCAATCGCCCGATCTTGAGTTCATTCATTTTCTCTTCACTGCCCGGGCACGAGCTTACGCATTCTCTCAGGAGCGCTTCGGCAACATGACCCGAGTGTACTACAAGGAGGCTGTAGGCGCTTTTGTCGTGTTTGACGTCACGAGAGTGAACACCTTCGAGGCGGTGCAAAAGTGGAAGAACGACATCGACAACAAGGTCACGTTGCCTCCTGACGATAGGCCAATTCCCGTCGTCCTTCTTGCCAACAAGGTGCGCTTGCTCTTGCATCACCCCCCCCCCAACCCTCGCTCAATTTCTAACAATCGACTTGGATGTGTAGTGCGATTTGGCCAAGGAAGGTTTCGCGCGAAATGCGGCCCAGATGGACAAGTACTGCGAGGAGCACGGCTTCGCCGGATGGGAGGAGACGTCGGCCAAGGAAAACATCAACATCGACAAGGCCGTGAAGTTCCTGGTCAGCAAAATCCTCGAGAACGACATCAACAGACAGAATCAGCTTCAGAAGAAGGATGAGAACATCGTGAAGGTCGGCGCCGGTGGACCAGAACCCAAGAAGGCCGGAGCTGGCGGCTGCTGCGGCTAAATCGATGGAAGGAGTCTTCGATCGAACATTCAGTCTGGAGGGGCGAAGAAGATGGCGAGAGGAGGCGATCAAGGCGGGGGCGAGAGGCTCCTATGCCCTGCAACCCACACCTGTTTTGTCTTTCCCTTCCTCTACACTCTTCTTCTCTATTCTTCTCTTTCCCTCTTCGCTCTCGGCTCATCTCCCTCTCTTGCTCTGCCTCTTTGCTCCGCATGCACATGACCTCACATCACTATGAGAGAAGAGGAAGACTACGTTTGTAATAATTATCTCCCCTCACGCACATCATGATTATAAACCTCCTGCAAGATCTAAGCTTCATCTTCAGCTTGTTCATCTTGAAAAAACGACTTCATTTTCTTCGAGAATACTTTTCGCGCCTTTCTCACTCCACACCGCTCGTGAGGAAGAGTTGGAAGCGGGAAGCGTAGAAGTCAGCCGGCACCAGCGACAACGTTGCCTGCACGCACGCGAGGTGAGAGACGCAGCAAGGAAGACACACAACGAAGGGATCAAGGCGATGTAATCGTGTGCGAGAAGTCAAGCCAAAATGGTGGTGTCGATGAGATTGTGGAAGCGAGAAGAGTAGTAATCGGCCGGCACGCTGGAGAGAGCGGCCTACGCGATAAAGGAGAAGACGAAACATAGATGGTGCGTGTGCGTGTGCGTGTGAGGACGAGTGGGCGGACAGAGTGGGCGAGTGGGAGGGGCGGGGCGGTCAGTACCGCTTCGTTGAGTAGCACGCCTCGCTTGAACAGGTGGGCCATCTTCTTCTTGGTGGCGTAGGGGGAAAGGAAGTCGATGATGCCCATGTAGTACACCTTTTCCACATACCACACCCCAGCACGTGAGTCATCAGCGGCCGCTGGAGGCCAGAGGGCCATGCAAGACGTACCTCGCTCCCGTCCGCCGATTCGACACCGCCCCTCCATAGGAAGATATCGGCATCGTCCTTCTTCTTGTCTTTCTCGTGATGGTGGTGGCTGTGCTTCTTCTCCTTCTTCTTCTTGTGCTTCTTGTGCTTCTTCTTTGTCTTGTCGTCGTGACTGCCGTCCGTGTGGCCCTCTTCGTTCTGCTCCTTCTTGTGGATACCCACGAGAAGGCTGTAGTCGATCAAGTTGGACGGAACCAAAAACTACACACGAACAACGACAACATCGGTTGAGTTGGCCAACTTGTGGGTTGTGTGTTGTGTGTGTGCGTGTGCGTGTCGGCGCCTACCTCGCTATCGCTCTTGATCGCCGCAAGGAATTTCTCTTTGATCGGTGGAGGCAGGGATATCCTGCGCTTCACTTCGATAAAGTCCAGATCCTTCAACACGCATTTATCACCGCCCCTGTGTGTGTTGTGTGTGTGTTGTGTGTGTGTGTGTGTTGTGTGTGTGTTGTGTGTGTTGTGTGTGTTGTGTGTGTTATTGACCCACGAGCACTCGGTGGTGTGTGTCTATCGCATGTGCGAACGAACCTGCTCTTTTCCTGTTCGGTCGACTTCCTCCCTCTCGTCGAACCCTGTAGGCCGAGGCGGGGAAGCGGGCGGTCAATTCCGGGGTGGTCTAAAGCGCAGCGAGGCAGCTGAACACGATGATGAGAGCTCAACGCACCTTGAGATCGTAGATCTCGGAAAAGAGCGGCGCGTTCCAAAATATGTTTCGCTGCATCACCAGATAGTGCGTGTGCCCGCCCACTTCCCACACGTGCGCCACACAGAGGACCGCGTCAGTCCCCCGAATCGGCGCATTCGTGTGAATCACACGAAGGTACCTTCAATCGCATAATAGCCCAACAGCCGGCACAGCAGCGATTGCGGGTTGTCGACGAGATGCTGATAGTAGGCGGGGAGCATGCGGATGAGCGTCCGGCCCTCCTTCGCGGGCAGTGTCTTGATGATGAACCGCTTGTTTGCCGAAAAGAGGAACAGGCTCCCACCTGCGTGTGTCGTGCGTTTGTCGTGTTTGTCGTGTGTGTCGTGTGTGTGTCGTGTGTGTCGTGTGTGTCGTCAGGGCGAGGGCTACGAGCAAAAAGCGACGCATGTGCTCGGGCGTACTCTTGCCGCTGGCCGCCTTTCGGAACAGTTTGCTGTCGTCGAGCGGCGTATCGAGCCACGCTTCCTGCACTCCCCAGTTTTTCCAGTTCAGTCTATGGGTCGTGCGATGTCGAGGGGAGGCGGAGGAGTACGTACGAGGTACTCCTCCGGCGTCACCTCCGCGAGGGTGCGAATGCGGTGGAAGATCAGCGGACTGTGATCCGTTATTGCAATGTTTGCGGACAGGGCCTTGCTGCTGCGCTCGCGACACACACACGACACACGACACACACACACAAACACGGCCGCACACAACACGCGTCAGGCGATCGATCGGTGAGTAGTGCGGCGGAGGTGGGAGAGAGAGGCACCTGGTGTGGTAGACGGCGTAGTCGGTGTAGTACTCCTCCTCGATCTCATCATCTGCGCCGAACATGCTCGCACTGGCCACCTGCGCGCGTGCAGTCCAGTGAGACACGATCAGTCAAGTCGCACACGCACACGCACACACCGCACACGCCGCACACGCACACGCACACACCGCACACGCACGCAGCATGATGTAGAGGGTACCGTGAAGCGAATGGTCTTCTTGATGGCGACGCCCATGGCCTGCGAGCTGCCGTGGAGTGACCTAACCTTCTCCTTGAGCCGCATTCTCTTCGTCTCGGGCAGCTCCTCCTTCTCGAGCTCTTCGTGCTGCTGCTGGTGATGATGGTGATGTTCATCTTCGGCCTCCTTCGCCTTCTCCTTTCCCTTGTGGTCGTGCTCCTCCTTCGTCTCCTTCATCTCGTGCAGCTCGACGCTGCTGCCGCTGCTGCTGAGCGACTTGGCCTCCTTCTTGGGCTTCTTCGCCTTCTTGGGCTTCTTGTCCTTCTTCGCTTGGATGGGCACCTCCACCTCTTCACCTGGCACCAGCCCAACGGCCACGGCTACGGCTTCGGGCTTGGCCTCGATCAGCACCTCCACCTCTTCTCCGCCCGGCCTGGGCGCATCCACTGGCAGCTCATCCATCTACGTACACAAAGAGAAATTGATCAATTTATTTGGTAAATCATTTAATCTGCTCTTGATGATTTGAATGGTTTCTGTATCCAGACACAGCGGGCCACGTACCTGGACGGATAACGGATGGCGCACAGAGCCAACTGGATGGTGAAATGGGATTCACTACAGAAAAGAAAAACAAGAAAAAAAAATCGGCAACAAATAATCAAACGCAATCAGGAGCAAAAAGAAGAAGATGAAGCTGCTTACTCACAACATGCTGCAGTGCAATAAGAAGGGCTGCACGAGCAACAACTACCCTCTGGCCCTCCATGCCCAGGAGGTGAGCCGAGAGGAGAGCGAATTTCGTCCCGAATTTCTGAAGCACATGCTCACCAAGCTTGACTACTCCGCTCTTGTCTTCGCCGCCAAAGCAGTAAACCCCCCATCTTCACGAATTTCCTTCTCCGCAACTTCCATCTTGTTACAATTTCGATTTGAGCTCAATTAACGATTCAATCCCAACATTCCAGTTGTCTATCGAAATCCCGGAACAGATGCCAACCAACGCTGCGGACGATGACAACTTCCTCCGAGGTCTGCATACGGCTCTCGTCGAGGTACAAATCCCACCCGTTCTATTCTGCAAGCGCACATACAGAGAGCAACTTCAAGTCATCTTGTCGTGTGCAGCACGCACGTGCAAGTTTGTCGTGATGTGCATTGGTCATCGCGCGCGCGCGTGTGTGTGGTGTGTGTGTGTTAGCGCTTGGGTGTTTTGTATCATTTTGTTGTGTTAGTGATGAACGCGAACCCACGCAGAACCGTAACATGCCCGTTCTTGCTGATGTAACACTGCGGTGTGATAAATGTAATGTACACCAGATCAACGTGAAGGAGGGCGAACTCAAGTGCCAGAACTGCTCCCGTTCGTTCCCCATCAGCAAAGGCATCCCCAACATGCTTCTCAACGAAGAGGAGGTGTAAAAAGAGTGTAAGCACACTCTCTCAATACACAAACCTTTTTTCACAACTTACTTCTTTCTCGAGCGTTTCTTTTACCTGTCAGAGCAAGTGTGACTGCTCCAGATTGCAGGAGAAAGAGAGACAAGAAGAGACACTCACAAGAGAGTTATAAGTTCAAATAATACCCTTTTATCTCTACTGAGCTGGCGGAGTGCGGGGAGTGGGAGTTTCCATTTTATTTTCCCATTTTATTCCCTCGAACCACAAGCACCGGCCAATCGCTGTTCGCATGACCGCTCGCGCAACTACGGACACTCGCCCAACCGCCTGAAATTCAGGTCGCCTTTCGCTTGGCCCGACCACCTGCTGACTTTGTGGCCACTCCCACCCCCCGAGCCTTTAAATACGCCTCTAGTCTGACCCAGTTGAACTCAACAACTACAGCTCAAGCAGCAACATCAACATCAACAACTACAGCTCAAGCAGCTAACCACTTCACTTCACCCTACACTTCAGCTTCTTTCACATCATCAACATGAGCA